GGCCCTTCCACCTCTTCAGTCTGTGGATTTCAGTTAAAAAAAACTTGATCAGGCCTGGAACTGGGCAAGGGATAGTGTGACTAGAGTGACCTGCCTTCGGCCTCTGGGTTACCCAGTCTTCATTTTCTTATGTTAGTACAAACATAAGACAGGTAGTTCTCTTGTTGGTTACCCATTTATTTTGTGCCCAAGGACACAGTGTTATTCTATTTCTGTGACTCTTTGTGGGCCAGATCCCCTTAGCTGCCACTTGGACCCTGCTGCTCACAGTGAGGATGATGTGACCTGGCCTCTAGCCCTCTATCCCCATCAGCTGGCCTATCGAGTTTCAGGATTCTGTCATCCTTGCTGCTGCTGGCAGGCTTGCTCTCTGCCCACTTCTGCGTTCAGCACGGCCCACAGAGGCCAGCACTGATTTTCCTTGTGATGCTGGTGCCGCTCTCACCAGGACATTCCTTTTGGTGTGTACTCTGGGTCCTCCCATGGAACATGATTATTGGGTATATTTTGTAGCCGCAGATACTATATCCATTCTAACATGTCCACTTGGTCTGCCCCACTGTCTGCAATGGGCAGTTGTGGTGTTTCAGCTTCTCTCAGCATGACCATGGCTTTTTCATGCTTTCAGGAGCCATCCTAATAGGCAGTCCCCAGCCTGTCCCGGTGTCTTTGAATACTGACTGCTCCCGAGTCAGTATAGTCCTCCCTAACCACTTTTATGTTCTTGCCCTTGGGGATCAAGCCCTTCGCTCTGGTCTTCTGCAGACTCCCCTGGCTGCTGGCTCATTCTGGCTTTTGTACCACCTTTGGATATATTCTTTCCTCTCTCGGCACCTCCTCAGCTAGGTTATGTTGTGAAATACCCTAATTATAGGTGTAGTGGCCAGGAGGGGGACTGGTTGAGAGATGGGGGTGTGAGGGAGGATGGGGCTGTGGGAGCACTGTTACCTGGCAGGGTCTTCCATTGTCTTCTGGCATAAGTTAGATCACTCCTAATAGAGGGGTGTGCCATCTGTGTGCAGTCAGAAGGTTTAGAGAAATCTGGTGCATTAAAACCGCTAATGTCCCCATCCCAGGTTTCTAGGGCCCTGACCTTGAAATAACAGACCTGCCTTGGTTGGGTACTAATTGTCTTTGGGGTTGAGTCACTCTCACAGGTAAGCCCTGGGCTTGGTCCTGGCTTGTTCTGATCTCTCACTACAGGATATGAGAGTTTCTTTGTGTGCCTCTAGGAAGCCCTCTTTTTCACTCCTGGTTTCTAATTGCTGTTCTTTCTCCTCTGCTGTAGAGCAGTGGCTCTCCAAGTGAAGTCTTCCAACTAGCGTCACCTTTACCTGGGAATTTGTGGGTTCACCAGGTAGTGCAAATTCTCAGCTCGCCCAGGCTACTGCTTCAGAATCGGGGATGGGGAACAGGCACCTGAGATTAGCAGGCTCTCTGGGGTAATTTCCAGGCAGACTAAGGTTAGAGGAGCATGGTAGAGCATCAGTGGTGCTTAGCCGTAAGTAACCATCCATCCCTAAGGATAGCCATAGCCATTATCCTTTTAGCCACCATTTCTACTACAGTCACCTGCTTCCACTGATCCAGCCTCCTAAGTCATCATCTTTGGAAGCTTACTTGGCCTGCCGTGTGGTTCCAGGGGCTGTCTCTGTCCCACCCACAATCAGTGATGGGGTCGTCATTGCTAGTTGGGTGGTAAGTGATTTAGCTCCATTGCTAGTTGGGTGGTAAGTGATTTAGAATGCCAACTTAATTTCCTATTTTTTAAATCGTTTTTTATACTAGTTGCTACATTTCTGGGTAGAACTTTGGTAGACGCATATGCCAAGATGGAGTTTGGAATAAATGATGTTTGTTAGGGATCAACAGCTGTGAAAGGAAGAGGGTGTGAGCAGATGGGACAGAGGGATTTGTCAAACTATGAGTGAGGCCTGACAAAGCCCAGTCAATCTGAGTGTGATCTGGGGCAGGAGTATTGCCCATTTGAGTTGGGCCCGAACGGCTGGGCCTTTATACCTCTGCCTTGCTTGTACCTGACATCAGGGGAGGGGGCTGTGCAGCGGAGAGCCACCATCTGGAGGCTCTTTATAGCTGGGCAGCAGGTTCTTTCTTAAAAGGGGACCTGGGTGGCGCATCCCTGTGTTTATCACGATGTGCCCAGCGATGCCACTGATGCCATTTTTTGTTGTTCTCTGTTTTCCTTTTCCCATTTTATGCTCCACGCATGTTCCATTCTGCCACCTCTTTAGATGTAGGAAAATCCCCAAGCCGTGTTGTCCGAATCTCCACTGTAGTATACGCCAAAAGACATATGTGGCTGTAAGATTAAGGGTAACCGTAGGCTCAGCCTGTGCCCCGCAGGGCCAGAGGTACATGTCAGCAGTGTGGTACAGCCTAGCCCAGGGGTTTCTAGGAGACAAGGCCACCTAAGCACAGGGGCAGCTTTCATGAATCTTAAAACAAAGCTTGCCCTTATAAGAGTACCTTAAACTCCTTTTATGAGAGAAATACCTGGTAACTGACACAGTCTGAATACAGATTCAAGAAAAGGAAAGCGGTCCCTCTGAGAATGGTCTCTGAGTGGAGACCCCCAGTGAGCTGATCATCTGGTGGCCCCACTGTGTCTGGCTTGCTGCTGCCCTCTGCCCTGTAAGAGTGGCCACAGCAGACTGCCGGAGCATGGAGCATTGGATGCTGGCTCAGAGTTATCTTTGACACAAATCAGACTGAAGGGGAGAAGTCGCCCCTGGGCAAGCTGGTGTGCTGGGACCACAGAGAGCCCTCAGACACAGCTGGCAAGGAGGATGGGATTTGTGTGAGTAGTGGCATCCATTTCAATGGGAAAATCAGGAGAGGATGACTGAGGACTTGCTTGAGGTGAAGCCGTGTGAAAGGCTCCACAGGGGATCTGGTGGTCGTTATTCTGCTTCCTGGCAGAATACATGCATTTTGTCTATGCCTCTATTGTGGAAACTGCTGCAGGCAAAACCTGCCAAATTTATTCTTAAGACTGCTCCCAGACCCTAATAAAGGGGGCAGGCTCCCAGTAGGAGGTTGGTCCATATACCTCTGGCTTGATGAGCCAACCACCAGCTACTGTGTCTCTAATCCCTGCTGCATGAGGGAAGCACCTCCCCTGAAGGGTCCTGGCATTGTGACACCACAGTCTAAGATGGCTAAGGTAAAGCAGAAAGCTTCCCTTTTGTTGTCTCCCAGGCAGGAATCATAAGACTATTCCCCATAGACCCGGGGACTAATGCTGCTAGCAAGTCTGCAGTGCCCTGAGGCCACATTGCTGCCCCTCCCTTCCTCTGTGCACTCCTGATGAGACAGCGCAGCTTATCCAAGGGTGTGCCCCACCCTCTGCTGCCAGCAGCCCTCCAGCAGCACACCCCAGTCCCCCGCGCTTGCCTGAGTCCTGTCACAATCTGGCCGAGTCTCGTAAGCTGTTGAATGATGATCCTGAGCACACTGGGGTACTGCTGGCCACACCACAGGCATCGCCGCCTGGTATACAGCAGCTGCCACCTCCACAAGGCTCAGATGAGGAAACATGCCCCGGACACAGGAAAGTCTGCAAAGAGGTTTATCTCCTGATGCAAATGGGAATTCAAGCCTATTTACAGCAGCAGGGGCTCAGGGAGAAAGGCACTGCCCACCGCCGGCTGTACTGTGTGCACCTTCCAGGAAGTGATGTGCAGCTCCCAGGCCAGGAAATGCAACAGCTGGCAGAGACCTCCACAGACAGCCAGAGAGCTTCATTTCTTATTTATTTATTTATTTTTGTAGAAACAGTCTTTATTGCCCTCGGTAGAGTGCCATGGCGTCACACAGCTCACAGCAACCTCCAGCTCCTGGGCTTAGGCGATTGTCTTGCCTCAGCCTCCCAAGTAGCTGGGACTACAGGTGCCTGCCATAACTCCCAGCTATTTTTTGGTTGTAGTTTGGCCGGAGCCTGGTTTGAACCCACCAACCTCGATATATGGGGCTAGCGCCCTACACACTGAGCCACAGGTGCCGCCTGATAGCCTTATTTCTTAAGACCCTGTCAAGCTTATCCGGGAGCACACATTAGTGGGGGCTCCAAGCGCAGAGAGGTGGCTGTCAGCTGTCCCCGTGCCATACTGCAGTGACTGGTCACGGCTTGATGAACAGCATACCCTGTATGGGGTTCCTTACATAAAGGGCTGACCACTTACAACTAAGGCATTAAAGCATGCTCCAATGGTTTACAGCATGCTCCAGCGGTCACTAGGAGGCCTCATGACTGGCCAAACCAACTGCTGGCCCTGGTGGACACAGTCTCCAATGTTAATCAAGTTCTGTAGGTTCTCACCAGCTTGGGAAATGTCGAGAGGCACAACCATTCAATGAAGCATTTTCAGTAGCAGTTCACAGTTCTGCCCGACCACCCTGACTTGGTGCCTTGTAGCCAGAGATCTAATACCTGGCACCACTCTCCTGGGCCACCCCAGGCCTGGCACCCACAGACCCAATCCAGCTGGATACAACAAGGGCAGGTGACCCCTGCTAGCATCTACACCAGAGAGGGCTCCCAAATTGGCTAATCCCTGGCAAGCCTTCTGAGTCTCTCCAGACCATTTGATGCTGCTATGGCCTGCTCAGCCCCCTACCTGTCTGCAGGGGATAGCACCAGGTCTTCTGTGTGCACTAAGGGTCTGGGGTTGCTCCCCAGGGGCCCACATGGATGATAATCCTGGCATTTGGGGGGCCCAAAGCCACAGACATTTGGGCCTTATTGGATATCCCTGTTTCATTGGCATATGAGGAAACGGTTGAGAGCTGGTGACCGGCGGCCCCTTTTTATTCATCTAGTTAATAGTACAGTGTGAATGCTGTTCTTTCCTACCAGTCTGTGAAGGAATATACATAAAACCCTTTTTTTGTCAGAAGTAAATCTAGAAAATATAGTCTATTTTTAAACAAGAATATTTTGCTGCTTTCCTTGTTAATTCATTCTCCTTTTCCCCCCTCAGGCCATCAAGCCGTGTCGTCCTATGACCAACAATGCTGGCAGACTTTTCCACTACCGGATCACAGTCTCCCCTCCTACGAACTTTTTAGTAAGTTCCTGACAAAGTCAAATACTATATAATTTAAAATGTAAATAGAATAAAATGTGAATAGACAAAGTTACTGATACAGTTGTTTTTTTTCTTCACATTGAGTGATTCAATTCTTAGATGGTTTTTCTTTTAGAAATATTTTATTTTTATGTTGATAAAATTGTCCTCTATCACGATGGCATTTATTTCCATCTCCTTTCAGTATACTACTGCATATTTTTTTCATTTATATTGTTGGTGCCATATGATAGTCAAATCCATTGCAGCTGGTGAAATATGGAGCTGTAGGTGGGAAGAATTGCATAGAGCACTTCCACGGCCGTTCAAAGTTAGCAAACAGCTTATTTATTATTTAGTGACCAAAGAAGAAAATCTATTTTATATTTATGACGATAATAATGATACCTAAAATTTGTTGAATATGTACTATGTTTCAGGCACTATTTTAAGTGTCTGACAAGCTATATCTCCACTGCACAGTTCCGGCCCCAGTCCACATTTTACAGATGAGGTTAAGTAATTTGCTCAAGATTACTCAGCTAGGGCAGCGCCTGTGGCTCAGTGAGTGGGGCGCCGGCCCCATAAACTGAGGGTGGCCGGTTCAAACCCTGTCCTGCCCAAACTGCAACAAAAAATAGCCAGGCGTAATGGCAGGTGTCTGTAGTCCTAGCTACTCGGAAGGCTGAGGCAAGAGAATGGCCTAAGCCCAAGAGCTGGAAGTTGCTGTGAGCTGTGATGCAGCAGCACTCTACTGTGGGCAATAAAGCGAGACTCTGTCTCAAAAAAAAAAAATAGATTACTCAGCTAGTAAGTGCAGGGTGGTTATTGGAACCCAGGGAGTCTGTTCCTGTGCGTACGCCTGTGTGCTATCCCGCTATGCCATCTTGCCTTCCACAGTATGAAATTTGTTAATTCTGGTTATCTGTAGTCATCAAGAAATTTGAGTTTCAGAGTTAATTATTACATATTTTTACAACTTTATTGAGATACAGTTTAGATATCATACATTTTGCACATATAAAGTATATAATTCATTTTTAGTTTATTTACAGAATTGTAAAACTATCACTACAATCTCACTTCAGAACATTTCCCTCATCCCAAAAGAAACCTTCTACACATTAGCAGTTAATTCTTTCCCACCCCCAGCCTTAGGCAATTACTAAGATACTTTCTGTCTCTATGGAGTTACCTAACTTAGATATTTCGTAGAATAGGATCGTATAATACGTGATCTTTTGTGTTTGGCTTTTTTCTCCTGGGATAATCTGTTCAGGATTAACCCATGTTGTAGCATGCATCAGTACTTTTTATGGCCAGTAATACTCCACTGTACCATAGTGTATATATCTGAATGAATGTACACAGTAGACAGTTGACTGTCTCCACTTTTTGGCTATTCTTAAGAAAGCTTCTGTGTGGGTGGCGCCTGTGGCTCAAAGGAGTAGGGCCTCGGCCCCATATGCCGAGGTGGTGGGTTCAAATCCAGCCCTGGCCAAAAAAAAACAGAAAGCTGTGAACAATTGGATGCATCTGTTTGTGTGGATATATATTTTCATTTCTTAGACATATGCCTAGAACTGGAATTGCTGGACTCTAATATTTTGAGGAACTGCCAAACTGTTTTCCAAAGTGGCTGTATTACTGTCTCATCAGAAGTTCTTTTTATTGTATTTAATTTAGACCAGCTTTGCTGACTTTCTCAAATAGAAAATAATGGTAATATTGGCAAAACAAATAATACATATGGTAAAACCTCCACAGTTGACCACCTCCATACATTGACCACCTCCTTCAATTGGCCTAATTTTCGTAGACTGGACGTGTACCATGTGCGCATATCAGCACAGTGAGCCCAGCTCCTTCTGTTGACCACTTCGTGTGTTGAGCAGTTCGTTACAGTCCCTTCGGTGGTCAACTTACAGAGGTTCTACTGTATTTCTATATTCTTTAGCTTTCTCCTCCCCAAGTTGTTGTTTTTCTTTTCTTTTCTTTCCTTCTTTTTTGTTTAGAGACAGAGTCTCACTTTATTGCCCTTGGTAGAGTGCCGTGACAGTGTCACAAAGCTCACAGCAACCTTCAACTCCTAGGCTTAGGTGATTCTCTTGCCTCAGCCTCCCAGCCTCAGCTGGGACTATAGGCGCTTGCCACAAGGCCCAGCTATTTTTTTGTTGTGGTTTGGCCGGGCTGGGTTTGAACCCGCCAGCTTTGGTATACGGGGCTGGCGCCCTACTCACTAAGCCACAGGACCACCCTCTTTTTCATTTTCTAAGAGATGGGGTCTGACTGGGGTGTAGTGGCAGAGCTCACTGCAGCCACAACCTGCTGGGCTTAAGTGATCCTCCTGCCTCAGCCTCCCGGGTAGCTCAGAGTACAGGTGCACTACCATACCCAGCTAATCTTTAAAATATTTTTAGATATGGAGTCTTGCTGAGTTGCCCAGGCTGGTCTTAAGCTCTTGGCATCAAGTGATCCTCCTGAGTCACTGGGATTATGGATGTTAGCTACTATTTTCTTATGTATATATTATGTAAGAGAATGATATTTGATATGTAAATGTCTTTTAGATTATCAATCTTGATAATTACTTCTATATTTAATTAAAAATTAAAGATGGTGGCCTCTAAGACTGATGTAAGAAAGAGACTCCCTCATGCTTAGATTGACATTTGTGAATGTAAGTCCAGATTCAATTTTCAGGTCATTAAGATCTTTCACATCATGTGGGATTTGTTGTTTTGGAGTCTTTGGTTGGTTGGCTTCTCCTTGGAGAGGCTGAGATCGTGGAGTTCTGAGTTGAGCAGAGCCTTTCAGGCTGTTACTGGCCTTGGGCAGATTGATGTGGAATCTTTTTTAACTTTGCATTTGAGTTATTATCTTGTTCCTTTTAGGTCTTCTATTAGTTTAGAAATAAAGTTCAGTATGAACAGAACTGGTGGTATTGTGGGATTAAATCAAACAAGTTCCTAGAAAATAAAACCTTGTTCTTTTCTTTATTGCTCTTTCATAATAAATATCATTGATGGTCTTAGTACATAAACATTGTACTTAACCTCTGAAGCTGGAGAAGTTTGCCAAGCAAGAGAATTCTTTTCTAAAATTGCACGTTTGTATAAAGTTCTCTCTGATGTTTGGAAACATGTTAGCCGACTCCTGTGGGTTACTTTGTGTCTTGGTAGATTTCTGCGGGTTACTATGTTTCTCCTGTGGGTTACTTTGTGTCTTGGTAGATTTCTGCGGGTTATTATGTTTCTCTCCTGGGTTACTTTGTGTCTTGGTAGATTTCTGTGGGTTACTATGTTTCTCCTGTGGGTTACAAAGTCTTGGTAGATTTCTGGGGGTTACTATGTTTCTCCTGTGGGTTACTTTGTGTCTTGGTAGATTTCTGTGTGTTACTATGTTTCTCCCGTGAGTTACTTTGTGTCTTGGTAGATTTCTGCGTGTTACTATGT